TATGTGGATTTTTTTTTTTCTTCTCCAAACCAAGATGGCCGACGCCCAGTCAGAAATACCAATTTGAAGAGGAATATCCATCCATTCGTTCTATCCTAGAAAACTCTTGCAGGTAAAAAAAAAAAAATGTTGTAACATCTAGGGAGTCATATCATTGTTACATTTTCCAAGTAGGCCTATTGATTTTAGATTGGGTGGAAATTCTGATTAATCCGTCGTCCTAAATTGGACATCATGCATCATTAGTTATATTTCAGCTACAATTCACTATTACTGTGACTGTTCTTAAAAATGCCTCATCTGAAGCAACTTTCTTTGGTTGTAAATAAATGTATTTGTGTTATCAGAATGTAATTTGCAGTTCAAAAAAGTAATCTGATTATGTTATGCATGTTACTTGTATTGCGTTACCACCCCGACACTGATTGCTATTTTTTTTTCTTCCACGGTCTTAAAACATCAATTAATAAATGTAGGCTAGATTTCAGCTACTGTAGAAATACATAATCAGAATTATCAGCTAATAAGGTTAAATCAACATACTCTGGTAAATTGGAGGGAGCATACGCATTTTCTAAATAGTGTTACTGTGTTATTACTCTATTATATTTAATTCAGTATCTTTTTAGTCCAGTTAAAACCAAAAACACATACGGTCTACTCGAATGTCTACTCAAATCTCTTTGAAAAATATGTGTAAAAAACCCCCAAAAAGTCCAGGTCTTGTTTTTCATGCCCTAAGAGCAATAAAAACACATGGGGGAAAAAATCCTTCCTGAGGTTGTCATAATTCATGCATGAAAGGCTTAAGAACATTCCACACATTCACATCCCTTTTCTGCTTTAAAACGGACCGCCTGCATTTTTTGAAAAACGGTTAATGTTAAGAGTTGGTGTGACCGGTTGGTGTGACAGACAGCTGAATGTTGTCCTCCATGCTTAAGTTTGACTCATTTCCTAACTCTTTGATTTACTCATGACTCGTCTGTGTGGCCTGACCCCTGACCTTTGCCCTTTAAAAACTCATAAATAACCTTGAGTTTCGCCTGATGGAAACGAAGCGTCACATGGTTTGGGTCATTAGAAACCAATTAGCCCTTGCAAAATGGTTGAGATGCTTTTGAATTGCTGTTTGAAACTTGTGAACAATGAGTTGATTTATTGGTACAAGGAAATAGGGCTGCCAAATTTACAATTTGAATTTCGAATATTTGTTGAATTTAAAATAAAAATCCATATTCGAATGCAAAAACGGATTTTAGGTGTGCACCAGCCACCGAATGATGTACGAGTCGTTGTGTTTTTGTTAACCTATATCCAGTTGAACCCTCTAGATGCTGCGCTGTGGCATTGTTCATTCAAAACATTCCAGAAATAGAGAAGCTCGAAACCTAAAATCCTACCCCCCAACCCTAAACCTTTCCCTAAACCCCCTTCCATGAAATTTCATTCCACTGCATCTCATCTGTGCGATCTGTGCTTCGGCTCTTTGTATTAAATTATGCATAAATATACATAATGCTAATTTGTTCATAATTGTTTATGCAATTTATGAAATTTTATGAGATTTATTAACATTAAACATTATGCACTTCTTCTTTTTTTATAAACAGTTGGGGTTGGGGTGCATTAATATTTTGTTCACTATCTAGAGCAGGGTGGCCAGTGTCCCGTTACAATGCTCATTATACCATGTCCTTACCAAACGCGATGCGATAAGATCCCAGCGACAAGCAATTTGTCTGTCCACACAAATGACACAACTACGAGATGCGACAAAATCTATCAAAAATCACAGCCAATCAGAAGAGTGTGTAGGCGGAGTCTATCTGCAAGTACACTGCACTCTCAACCAAATGGATAAATACATAATCAAATTCATAAACATTAGACCATTTTAACGATTATTAAAAATACTGAGTGACTGATACAATCTTTGTCATAGAATACACTTGTTTGTTCACACTGAGTTCACAGTTTGTTTCTTGTTTCCTTTAATTTATTTTCAAGATCGGATTTTATCCATTGTCGGTGTCAGTATAGCGATAAAGGTCACGCTAAATGATATTCAAACTCACATTAGATGTTTTTAACATGAAATAAAGCACATAAACAGTACCTGATAATTTCGGCATACTTTGTATGTTGTTGTTGTTCCTGCCGCGACGTTGCAGAAATAGAAACATTTCTAAAATAGAATCGCTGCGTATCACCATCATGGCCGATTTGGACAAAAACTCTGATTAACATGGAAAAGAAGCCTTTTGTTGCCTGTCGTGTCTGGTTAGGACACAGTGTTATATTCCCAAATGAAATGTCAGCAAATGGAACTTCTACACAGATTCGCTAAAATGAAAGTCGGCAAGAAATGTTTCTTGTTTTGTAAATGCGTGTTATTGCATCTTATTGTGAACAGTTTATCCATGTTTAGGTTTAAAATATTTATTTGACCTCATAATGTTTAAACAAAATGTCATAACTGGATCATCCAGTGGTAACGACAGACTTCTCTCTGTTGATACAGGACTTCTCCAATCATTAATTCCGCTTTAACTCTGTGCCTTTCTTACAATTGACTACAATCTCGCATTGATTTGAGTACAACGCCCACATGTCAAAACTGATGGATACACAATGAAAAAAATCTTCTTCATACTTTAGTTTTTCTTTTTAAACTTTTTTTTTGCTATTCCGTTACACTTGGGTGTGTGTCATCATAAGGAAGAAATTATCTGTTGCTACTTCACACTATTTATTCAGAGTTCACTAAAACTTTTGTCATGCACTGACCAGGTTGATGGTAGATTATGGAACATAAGCGAAATACAACTTGTGTTAATAATCTATTAAAGCTGCTGTAGGTAACTTTTGTAAAAAATATTTTTTACATATTTGTTAAAACTGTCATTGTCCCGACAGTAGAATATGAGACAGATAATCTGTGAAAAAAATCAAGCTCCTCTGGCTCCTCCCAGTGGTCCTATTGCCATTTGCAGAAATACACGCTCCCGGTCAGAAACAACCAATCAGAGCCAGGAGGAATGTCTTAGCAGTGTCAATCACGCTCGTGTACGCGCTGATCACACCCCTCTCTTGCACAGCGCGAGCCGTCGTTCAAACTCAAGATTGCCGGCGTGCTGCAGCTGTGCTTATGACGGAGAAACAACCTAAACTGCCAATTCTCGAGTGACACCTGCTCATAAAACAAAGAGGTAAAAGGAAAAAGACTGATGACGATAAACAAGCGAAAAAGAAAGAATTACACAGAGCCCATTGACTCGGTGTCAAAACTCTAGCCGCATAACATGTAGATAAAATGTCACGCACTCTGCTAAGCAACAATTGGAACCTGCTAATTCACTGGCTTGTCATGTTGTTGAAATAATGTACTAGCACACCTTATCTAGCATTATATATCGCTAAAATAATTACTTCCATACTGTAACGTTAGTTAACGTTATATTAACGTTATCTTACTAGCTATTTATAACCTATAAGTTATAAATAGCTAGTAAGATAACATTAATATAACGGTAACTAACGTTACAGTATGGAAGTAATTGAGAGTGCAACGTTATAAAGTTACATGTAATCTATTGCAAAATACATAATGATTTCAGGACCAAGTTTGTAGTCAAAGTATGGGCAGGCCATGTAAAGCATATTGTTGACGTTTAGTCCCTATTAGTGAATGTGCCATATAACTTTTTATCCGCCGTTATGGGTGGCCCTGTTTACTAGCCTGTGCGTTCACGACGGGCTCCGCTGTGGAGGACGAGCTGTGGAGGGAGGGCTGTAGCGCAGCAGAGAGCAACGGGGTGGGACCTGTAAGTTGTGCTTGTTCAAATTTTCAGGCTAAGTCAACGTTTTCTCAAAACTCCCTACTGCAGCTTTAAGATTTATAACGTTTTTCTAAGGTATATTGGGTGCTTGCTTATTTGAAGATACTTCAGTCATTGTTAGTCTAATATGTTTCTTTTTGTCCATCAAAATGATAGCACATTTCTATCATTATGGACCCCTATTATGGACCCCTAACCCTAACTATGAGCTGGAGTAATAGTGGCACTTTGCTTAGCAAACACCACTAATGAATTGTCAAGGTAATTTGTGGAGTGATTTGTCATGAAAGGTATTTCCTAAAGTTGCAGAATGGTTGGTGGCACTTCTCTAAATAAAATGTCTGAGAAGGTTTATTATTAAAAAGCAATAAACGTTATGCAACATACTTGTTGGTTGTCACCTTGATTTGCATATTTGTCCTAATAGCGAGTCGGCTCATTGACTTTGCTATCTCAGAAAATCTTTTTGCAAACAAGAGCCACAGGAGACACCAAAGTAGTCACGATAGTTGAAGAAAGTCTTGAACTGGGTAATTAGCAATGGGTACTGCTTGATTTGTCTTCGCTTTTCATGTTACTTAAAGACTTCAAAGTCGTCCTAGGGGTGTAATAAAGCTGTTAGTTGCTCTCCAGTAATTTGTGCTCCGGGAATTCATTAAGCCTAAATGGCAGTCTGCTAAAACAGACCGAGAGAGACATTCAGCAAGCGTCCTTTAACTACTCAATGGCTTCATACATTTGCATAGCTGGCTAATAGACTTTAACCGTGAAAGAAGCGTTCCCTCAGGTATTGTCTAGACTGAGATAAGGCCGTCCTGCGTGCGTCACAGTACAGGTCTGTCTCTCAGCTTGCACTCTTTGGATGGAGATTGTCCAAAGTTCAGTTCTATATCAAATAAGTTGCTGCATACAAGCCCATGGGAGGAGACCTGCAGTGGCTCCACCTCTCATTTCAAGAGCAGCCGGCTAGTTTCAGTCAAACATGATAGATGAATGGATGCATAAATGAACTAAGGCTCTAAGATCATTGGAGTAAAGGTGAATGATGGGATTTTTGTTTTTCCTATATGGGAAGCATCAAATGCCATCTTAAAACTATTGTAAGCTGTTTTCTTGTTCACGAGTCTGGTTTTGATATTGACTATTGTCTCTTTGCAGGTGTCCCTGTTTCCAGAGACAAGAAAGAGAGACCATGTTTTAGAGACCTTGTGCTGTCAGCCCATTCTCTACAATGAACAATGAAGACGAGTTCTATGATGCCGTCACAGGTGAGAGACATTTCGGGATGGTAGGGCTCCACAGTTAATCAGAAAAAATAATCAATAATATAATATGATTTGAAAGTGTCCATTTGTCTACTCCTGCTGCTTTTGCATTTTAACCAATCACATACATGAATGTATCGCCAATGGATGGATATTTGAAAGCAAAAATGTAGCTCTGAAATTTGAAGTCCTAAAGAGAAATAAGTTCAACAACTTTGTCCATGTAATGGCACCTCTGTGACACAAGCCAGTCCGGAGCTGTCGCGTGTCATGAAAACATTGACATTCTCTCAACGCTGTCTGAGTTCACACACAGCAGTATTAAACAGCTGTGTTTTCTGAGGACCGTCTCATTTGTCCCCTATTGTGAGTGTTTTGGCCACTGTTGACTTAGGCCCTCAGCCGTGTGTGTTTGTTATGACAGAGCGTTTGCAATGCGGCGCGCCAGTCTGGTGTCGGCTTACCGCAATCTGTTGATAACTTCAATTATGTAGTGCTGCTTTCAGATGGTCTGATGGCTTCTGTCATTGTGGAGATGAAAATAATGTAATGAATAAATAAACAAGGCGATATGGACTTTGGCAGGTCATTGTGCTGGAAACCTGAAGCCTGATATCATATCAACCAAGTCGCTCAAATCAGGTGGTACAAAACGTGAGGAACCGCATTTTATTCCATGTTATTAAATCGTTAATAAATGCATGTTGATATCAGACCTACAGAAGAAATGTATAAGTCTTCTGCATTTAACATGTATGGTCAATTTTAGTGGAGAGATTTTATTAATGGCAATACCGTATATATGTTTGATTACAACTGATAATATTTTATAAATAACTTCTTCACTGTTCTTTTTATTATTATTAACATTATTGAAAATTAAATATCTTGAACACTTATTTAAACACTTATACTTTGTAGACCAAGTTTCAAATATATTTAAGTTGTGATTTGTTTAAGTTGTGATAATGTGCTTGTGTGTCTCAGGCTTGGATTCAGATGAGTCGTGTGAAGGCGCATCAGAAGCCAGTTTTAAAGACGCTGTAGTGTATGACGGCGGTCAGAAGAACAATGGAGCTGTTCCTCAGGAGAACGGAATTAAGAAGCGCAGGTCCGGCCAGATTCCAGTGCCGTGACCCATATACTCGTTATTATTCTCTCTCTCTCTCTCTCTCTCTCTCTCTCTCTCTCTCTCTCTCTCTCTCTCTCTCTCTCTCTCTCTCTCTCTCTCTCTCTCTCTCTCGTTATTCTTATTTTCATCTTATGTTTACAGTTCATTCTCGTTCATGTATAATCTTCACATCTGTGCATAGTTCTACAGTTCAATGCATGTTTATGAACAAGAATTCTTCTGCCCTTTTAGGTCGTCTCTTCCTGCCCCTATGTTCTCCAGAAATGATTTTAGTGTTTGGAGCATTCTCAAGAAATGTATTGGACTGGTAAGGATAAAAAAATTAATAATTCTAGTAGCAAGTTCAGCATATTAATTATGAGTGGATAAAGAATGGATGGTCGACAAGCTGATTAATGTCTATTAGTGAGGTTAAGTACTTGCTCACCATGAAATAAAAAATGGACAATTCCTTTTTTTTTTTTTATGGAATATTGCAATGGTCACTATAATTGATTGATCCGTGCATGTCAATATTATTTTTTTCATTCGTGTGCCCTCTGAATCAAAACATTCTTCCAATCAGTTTTCAATCAAGGACAAAATCAAGTCCTGTTTCTTTTTCACTCTTATAGAGCTGGTAAGTCCCGCCCATCCGTAAAACTCCAAGTGGACCTGTAGGTTGAAAAAGCGTCAATGCAAGTGAATGAGAGAAAATAATTATTTTCTGATCCCGTTTGAATTGTGCCATGAATGTGAACATATGTTGTCTGTGAATTTTTTATATCATTTCTCATGTAACGAGTTTGACAGTATATTGTATGATTCTTTGGCTAGCAGTTGTGGAATAGACATAACGAGAAAGACTACACGTCGCATATGTGACGTCACCGCATAACACATTTTCCCTCCACAAATCACGGTGCGATAATCTAAGGAATTAGATCGAGATGCCTGTGTGTTTTGTACCCAAATGTCACCATTCAAACAAAGGCATGTTTAGCGGGATCCGTGTGCTAGTGGTGGTGACGTATATCAAACGCGTCGAAGGCAGCGAAGAGTTGTAGTCCACAAAGTGCTCTCACACAAAGTCTAACTGTATGAAAATTCTACCCGCTAAATTGTAGCATTCTTTACACGAAAAATTATATAAAAAATTCACAGATAACATTCACATTCATTGCAAAATTCAAACGGGATTAGAAAATAATTATTTTCTCTCATTCACTTGCATTGACGATTTTTCAACCTAGAGGTCCAGCGGGGTAAGCGGAAGGGGCGGGACTTACCAGCTCTATATAGATCACGCAATAGGGAAGAAAAGACCATCGAATTTTTCATGTCATGCCGACTTTTATTTTTTTATTACAACTTCTCGGAGAGTGTTAAATGGTATAGGGCGAAAATAGGTATCGCGATATATCGTTAGCGTGAATTCTTTTGACCGTGATAATCGTGTAGTAAAAAGTCTGATATTGTGACAGCCCTAAAAAGAAATCCTCTCTGAGAAATCCATCACTTTCAGCAATAAATTAAGAAAAACTGTCAAAACAAAAATATTTCAATGCTTGATTTATGTACATGCAGTCGCATCTCACTGTTTTTATGATGACGTGAAGTTGACTGTTTAACGTTTTAAAAAACATCTCAAATCGTTCTTTTTCTATTGATTTGCACTCCATCCCGCTGTTTTTGAATGCAAGAATGTGTCTAGGGCTCCCTTAAGAAACACGTCTGATCACTGTCTAATGGACATAACCCTAAAGCAGCGTTCCTTAAGGGCGACTAGTCAACCAGTTTGAAAATGTGTTGTTTGGCACAGCCTGTAAAGACGTTTGGTCCTGCTCAGCCTGTTTGATTGTGCTGTATTCCAGGAGCTGTCCAAGATCACCATGCCCATTGTGTTCAATGAGCCCCTGAGCTTTCTACAGAGAATCTCTGAGTATATGGAGCACACATACCTCATCCACAAAGCCTGCTCACAGAACGACTCTATAGAGAGGATGCAGGTGAGACAAAATCACAAAATAACCGTACAAAATTCATACTCTACACGGTTGAGTAGATATTGATGTATAGTGCGTCATTTGGGATGCAACTCAAGTATATGCAGCACAGTTTTGTAATATTACAATCCGGCCTTTAATTTGACATGGTTTTTCTGTCTTGCTCCTAAGACGGTAGCTGCCTTTGCTGTGTCTGCAGTCGCTTCTCAGTGGGATAGAACTGGAAAACCTTTCAACCCGCTTTTAGGAGAAACCTACGAACTCACACGGTAAAGAAACCTGCAGAGCGCTTAATTACAAACTATGCTGATAAGATTTGAGGATGTCGATAAACATTGGTTAGATCAAGATTGCTCTAAAGGGAAACTGTTCTTTGTCATTTATGTAACTCTGCTTCTTCTTCCCCTTTAATGCTTCCTTCCTCTACTCTTGTTGGCTTCTCTTTCACTCAGAGAGGATCAGGGTTTCAGACTGATCTCAGAGCAGGTGAGTCACCATCCGCCCATCAGTGCGTTTCACACTGAGAGTCTGACAGGCGACTTTGTGTTCCACGGCTCCATCTACCCCAAACTCAAGTTCTGGGGCAAAAGTGTGGAGGCAGAACCTAAAGGGACCATCACGCTAGAGCTTCACAAGTGAGTGTGCCATGTTTATGTGCACACACATGTACAGACCCTGATATTCCCTGATATATAAATATATGTGTGCACATCAACTGCTATTTTTGTGTTCACGAAAATGTCTATTGATTGTGTGAGTGAGATTTTCCTTGGATGAGTCAGTGGTATCCTGGTTTGATTTGAGAGCAAAGGGTTCTGGGGTTGCCGAGTAACGGCCTGCTCACATTCTTGTGTGTGTGTGTATCCTCACAGGCATAAAGAGGCATACACATGGACGAACCCCTTATGCTGTGTACATAATGTAATTATCGGTAAACTGTGGATTGAACAGTACGGCAATGTGGAAATCGTCAACCACAGGTAAAGCTTTTATGACACATCTATTCTATTGTGAATTCACATGGATGTTTTGAATGATTAGTGTGACGTGTGATTGCTTAGTACTGGAGAGAAGTGCGTGCTGAACTTTAAACCCTGTGGGATGTTTGGAAAGGAGCTGCACAGAGTTGAAGGTTACATCCAGGATAAGAGGTGAGATCCCGACTCACACTTTTCACATTTTACTGGACTGCGTCTATGACCATGAACCGTTTAAATTATGTAGATCATGTTTAAAGAACTTTTGTAGCTATAGTGATTTAAATGTGCCAATATTTCAGTGATCTTGGTCTTATACTGACACCTAGCAGCATGGATAAAGCCTCACACAAAAGAGCAAACATTTGCAGTTATCATTTCCATAGAAATGCACTATTTGCAATCAGTTACAATTGATTTATTCTGTGAGTGAGACTTTAATGAGAAGGGGATTACTTAAGGGGCTTTCTCACCGGGTAGTTATAGGAACTAGCCATTCCCCCGAGAACTAAATTTTCCCCCTGGGCCATTTTCCTGGTTGCATTCGCACTGCCAGTAGGAACTCTGAAGTAACGTAAGGCAGCCAACAGCGACGTCTTTTAAGTGCGGGCGCAAACAACTGGAGGACGGTGGACGTCGTGATCGGAGCTGTTTTTGTTGTGTCGTGGGTTTTGTGATAATGGAGATGGAATGTAGATGTATAGTTATGCGATCGAAAAAACAAAAAGGAGGGCTAAGAGTAGGGTTGCCAATTGTTCCGTATTAGCTGGAACTTCCCGTATATTGGGCCTAATTGATTTGTCCCATATGTGATCTCCCTTGTCCCGTTTACCGACTGTTAATTTAATGGATCCTTGCTGAATAAAAGTACGCTATTACTCTCTTTTAATTTCTTTCCAAAAAAAATTAAAATTCTTACTGACCCCAAACTTTTGAACTGTAGTCTATAATGTTACAAAAGCTTTCTATTTCAGATAAATGCTGTTATTTTGAACGATGGTGTGTGTGTAATGTGTCTTTTTTTTTTTTGTATGACATTAAAATTATTTTTAGAATTAAATTGTACATAAATAGGTTAAGCAAAACAAATGTGTTTATGTCCTAGAACCTTTTAAACATCCTTAACTGCATAACCTACACTGTGTGGTACAGTACAAATATTTTGAGTGTCCCTTATATTCCTATAAAGAACCACGATTTTCCTTTTCTGAAGTTAACAACCCTAAGAGACTAAAAATCTCCTACGATAACTTGCAATTCTACATATCATCAAGGCTGAGAAAAGAACAAACGCCGTTAGGCGAGAGGTAAATGCTATTTATCGCTGTTTTCCATGTTCGTGGAATTAGCTCCTGGAGTAAGTGTATGTAAACTGTGTTTACACAGCTTTTTAAAAATGACAGGTGCCGGTGTTTCACAAGCGTTCGGCCAATCAGTGTACACTTACGTCACTGGTCACTATTGATTTGACTCTACTCTGAAAGTAGGAGCTAATTAAGTTCCCCCAAAAGGCCTTTCTATAACTAAAATCATTACCAGTTCCTGCGGCGCAAACACACCAAAAACGGGTACTTCCGCCTATAGTTATGGGAACCATGAAAACGTTACTTCGGTGCGAAAGCTCCTTTTGAAGTGGCATTTATCTGATCAAATGAGGTGACTCGTTTCAGGTTAAATTTTATTAGGTTGCTAAAATGACTGGAGTCATATAAGTACTATTAATTTCTTTGTGTAAAATTGTTTTCAATGAGATAAGCAATGATGACTTTTTAAGATCGTAAAGATTACAAAGCAGTTAGACCTCTTTGACACCCATGACATTTGGAATGAAGTTAATAATTAAGGAGCGATTTAAATCTCTGGCGGTGCCAAGTCACTGTACTGTTGGTTGTAGTTGGTGTTTCTACTCCACTGCAGCAAGAGCTCGATCACTGTCCCGTTGGCAGTCGTCGCTTTGCATCACTGCTCATTTGCATAATGTTGAACTTTGATTTCTGGTTAAAAATGAAAGGTTTACTTCTTTTTTTTTTTTTTCTGTTGATGCAAATTGCTTTCTGCGTGAATGGCCATCTCTATGGCTGATGTAGACCTAGTTGACCGCAGCGCCATCTTTGAGCTTTAACAGGAATGAAAGCGAGGCTGTGAGGGATAGACAGAGATCTCTTCAGTGGGCTGTACTGTTATTTAATGTGTTTTTGTTTTTTTCTGCTGACAAAACACTGCAATAATATCTTTCCAAGAAATTTCCGTAGACAAAAAACATGAGCTGTGGAAAATTATAAGTGATCTAGAAGCTTTATACAGCTTTTTACAGAGGATGCCATTGAAAACACGGCAAGTCTGTCTCTCACAGGCTCGCTTTCATAGCAGTCATGGCGCTGCGCTGAAGAAGATCTATGGCTTCCAGAAAAAACTATTCTGAGAGACTTAGGAGGACGACAACAGCATTGCTAGATGTAATACACATGAAAGGAATATTGGTTCTTTTTCATGATCTAAACCAATATCTGCTTCAGCACATCTTTAACTAAAGTAAAAAAGCACTGTTGTTGTTGTTTGTTGTCTGTATTAAACTAAGTAAGCTGAGTCATAATTGGAATCTGACTCAAAATAGGTACAGGAAGTCTTTATTCCCACATCCATTTACGTCTGATATTAAAATATTTTTCAAGATCAGCTTTCTTTTATTTTACAGTACCTCAAATAGTCTTTCTCCTCTACATGTACTTTGCTTGCAGTAAGAAGAAGCGCTGTGTGATCTATGGGAAATGGACGGAGTGTATGTGGAGCGTCGACCCACATGTGTACGAGGCCCATCGGAAGCTCGAGAAGAAGGGAGCGACGGACACTAAGAAACAGAAACAGGTGTGAAAGATATTAGCAAGGCTAACAGTTGATCTCTCATGCTGCTTTAACCCCTGATCGCTCTCTTATCTTTTATCATATCCTATTTATTTACTTTTATACATGGAAGCAGCTCTCCTCTCTGTGTTCATGTCAAGGTAACGGATGTAGACTAGTGTCAGTAGGTGTAGACGTGTATAATTATGAGATCGTCTAGTGATTCGGGCACATTAGAGAATAATGGAGTTGTTTTAGGGTTACAGAACTGTTTGCATTGGTAGGTGTGTAGTTTAAATATGTGCTAATTTATGTACAGAAGAGCGGTGTGTAGGTGTAGAGAGAGCAGGTGTGTTAAAATACTCATCATGCCTCAGACCTTTGACTCTGTTCAGCTTTTTGTCAGTTCCTTTTGGTCCCATTGTACAACAACACACCCAGTTTATGGCTGTATTTGACAGACGTCTGAGTGTGGGAGATTAAAGGGACAGTTCACCCTAAAACCAAGATGCTACTTGGTTTGATATCTTATCTAATGCAGTGAAATTCATACATTAAGTGTGACTAAATGGTTTTTGGGGTCCACTGTATGCGTTTCTGCTTTTCCTGTCTGTGGGGAATCAGTGTGAAAAAGGCTATTGTCTTGTCTGAGGGATTTAAATGTGCGGTTGCACCAACAGGAGGAGCCAGAAGCTGTCAACGAGGATGCCGATGAAATGCCTGATGTACAAGAGACTGTGGCCGTGGTTCCTGGTAGCACATTATTATGGAGAATATCATCTAGACCGCCTCATTCGGCAGAGGTACATGCTGTTATATTCATGAAGGCACACACAATGCGTGAAAAAAAAACAGTTACACCAACTGATGATTTCTTAAAAGGTGAACTTACAGACCCCAAACTTTAGAACAAACATTCTTACAAATTAAAATAACGGCTTTCTATTTTATTATATTTTAAAATGTGATGCAAAGCTGAATTTTCAGCATCCTTACTCCAGTCTTCATTGTCACATGATCCTTCAGAAATCATTCTAATATGATGATTTGCTGCTCAAGAAACATTTATTATTATCAGTGTTGAAAACCGTTGTGATTTTATAAATCTTTAAAATGTTTTACTGTCACTTTTGATCAATTTAATGCATCCTTGCTGAACTCCTTTAAAAAAAAAAAAAAAACTGAGCCCAAATTTTTTAAACTGTAGTGTAATCTCATTTTAATTATTTGTTTAGTTGATTTGAAACCCCTCTGTTCACTTCTAGATGTATAACTTCACTAACTTTGCCATGACACTGAATGAGCTGGAGCCTGGCATGGAAGGAGTGCTGGGACCAACAGACTGCCGCCTACGGCCTGACATCAGAGCCATGGAGAACGGCAACATGGGTAATAAAAAGTCTTTTTGTTTTGTTTTTCTTTTCTTTCTTTTCAACAGCGCCTCCTGCTGTTCATACATGCTAAAGACTAACATAAAGCTTTCGTGTGTTTGTGCAGATGAAGCCAGCAGAGAAAAGGAGAGACTGGAGGAGAAACAGAGAGCAGCTCGTAAGGAGCGGGCCAAAGATGCCGACGAGTGGTCCACAAGGTTAGTACTACTACACTTTCCTGCTTTTTCCATGTGTGTGTGATTTTTTTTTTTATATGTGCCATATCTTAACCTCTCTGACCATTTTAGGTGGTTTCAGTCAGGCACAAACCCATACACAGGATCACAGGACTGGCTGTACACTGGTGGCTACTTTGATAGGAAATACACAGACTGTCCTGATATCTACTGATGAGGAGGTGCAAGTTCAAAGGGCAGAGATTTCGTCACCTCCTTCCTCACCATGCACCATATTGTACCCAACCCGAAAACAATAGCGCTTATGCTCACATTAATATCGTGCGGCCACCATCTTCAGCACTTGCGTTTATGATCGAGCTTTTTGAATTGCCCTTTGAAAGCATCTTCTCTCACATCATCAACCCTGTAGGTTTTATCAATGGAGGAGAGCGCCGAAACAGCAGTAGGAGAACAGATCTGCTTTTGAACGGTCAAGCCTCATCAGAGCTCCAGCTGGTTCACGGTCAGTGATGCTGGAGCTCAACGTAGTTACATCACATGAAGTCACCGATAAAATGTGACGGAGTTGCTTTGGCCGTTTTCCATGTACAGTAGGCGTTTAACAAACTAATTCCAGATGTTTTGAGTTGGGCTAGCACTGAGCCGCCTAAGACCTCGGATCCAGCTGTACATAGAGCGTGAATGTGATCAAGCATTAATTAAAAATTACAACACTTATAATGTTTAGTGAATGATGATGAATGTTAATAATGATCTCTTTTTGTGTGTGTGTGTGTGTGTGTGTGTGTGTGTGTGTGTGTGTGTTAGTGGCAATTAATGTTAAAAGCTATCGATTTTTTGTTTTGTTTTAATTGGTACAATATTTTGCCTTTTGGATTCGGTTTCAGATTAAACTTTACCCAAAATATCCTCACCATGCGTTCAATATTGGTGATGTGTTTTAAAAATAGCCTCAAAAGCTCTTTTTTTCCCTTCTTTTTTTTCACTTTGTGGTTCCCGCAGAGACTCATGGGATGTAAAATAGGCTGATTGTACTGAGTTTAATAAGGTAAAACTAGCTCTGTTGACATTGTAAATGCACAATTTTCATATTCCACAGTTTTTATAAGGTATCGGTGTCACACTAAATTGTTCAAGCACTATCCGTTGAATTTGTTTTATGAAAAGTAGGGTTTCATGGGTTGTTTTATCCATCAGCATTTGCATTTGTTATCGCTGCTCTCAAACATAGACATGTACATTGTGTATTTGAGAAAACGGACTAAATCTATGCAACCCATCAAACTGCTCAAACACCCCATAATATTTCAGTCTTGATGAACGTATGGAATGGCGGCTTATATAACATGCATCTCATTTGAGAGGATATTTCCTGCCTATAAATGCCATAAAGTATTTTACGATCTATACATATTCTCATTCAGACAGCTTCCTTTCGTTTAGAGATGATCTGAAGTCAAATAAGCGGGTTTGAAGCACAGTGATGCAACAGTTGCTGCTCTTTTCAAGTACACACACATACACACGTTTAGTTTCCCACAGTGCCTGACTTTGAATGCATATGTTAGTCACTAATGCTTAACCTTAAGCGGTTTGTTCTAAGCACCTTTTCCCTCGTCTAAGTACTAAACATCAATAGGGATGTCAAAATGTAGTCACCATTTGTTAGATACACACCTGACATTCAGTACACTACTTGTTTTGCATCCTTTATTGTTATCTTTTGCTTCATTAAATGTACATTTGATCATTTGAAAACTAGCGTTATGAGACTAATATTACACAATTAAACTATAGATTTAATTTTTATGTGGCTTTGTGTGAGTTCATTGTGTAAGTGGAATGATTAAGCGTCCCTCTTGTCGTATTTTCAATGTACGGATGTCTGTATGTTCCAAGATGTTGCACATAGATTTCTAGCAATCATAAGCACATGGCTCTTATTTTGTGCAATGATTTATTTTTATAGTATTTAATTTTTTGTTAAAAGGTGTCAAAAGGTATTTTACTGTGAGATGAGGCTTGTACTTCATTTGTGAACAGTTTGCTTTGGAATTAAAGGGGATGTCATTCTGGTGAGAACAAATTCTACTAACTGAAATTTTAGTTTGAAAATGTTGATTCTTTTGGAATAAAAAAAATGACATTGATAAAGCTCTCTCTGTTTCATTCCTTTGAATGCTGGAAATCTGCAATACTGCCTTGGCATATAGTGCTGTGAACTTTGGTGTCATTTAATTAGGATTTTTTTTTTGTGCCCATCTGGTAGGGAAAAATACTCATTTCTGTATCATCTTTTTATGGATTATGTGGCAATAAGGTGCAGTATATAGTCTAAATGTTACATTACAATATAAACTAAATAAAAACTTTTTTGCCCACTGTTGTAAAGGAAGTTTTAAATCACAAAATATATAAAGAAAAACAGGTCAGAGGTGATGTTCGCTGACGCGTTTCATGGTAACTAATTATGGCATAACATTGTAAAACAATGAACTACTTAATGAAAGCACATTGATATTCAGTAACATAATAAACTCAAAAATGAAGCTGAATTGTTCCTTGTGTTGTCTTCATTTAAACACTTCAATACAAAAAGCTTCTTCTAAACATATGACTGAAATCACGCAGCAGTTGTGTGGAGTTTGAGAGTTTGTGTGTTCATTCAGTAACAACCAACCCTCTAATGAGGAGTTCTAGCACACACACACATGTGTAAATAATATGGGCATTGGGCAGGTTGTTGTAAATATCACTGGGAAGAGAAATGTCTATTAAAGAGGGGGTTTTCAAACGGGTTCAGGGACACACTGGGGTTTATGGTTTCAATCTGCTTCCTAGACTGTCTAAAGTTGGAAAACAATAGATATTGCAATTATTTTATTCTACTTACACAGTAAAAAAACATTGGGTTATTTTTTTACCCAAAGGAAAAATAAAAAAAAATATTAAAATAATGTCATAAAGTAAAATAAATAGTTAACTCAACTGTTGGCTCACTTTTAACCAAATGCATTGTTTTAAAATAACCCACATTTCGGAAGGTGGTATACCAAAACATAGTTGGGTTACTTGTTGGGTTATTTTAAGCCAAAATTATTAAGTGAGTATACTGACCTTCTTTTTTATTTTTTTATTATATAGGCTAATAAAATAAATAGAGGCTAAATGAGAATTGAGTAAAAAAAAAAAGCAACAAATTTGCATAAAAATAATGTTGTTGTTTTTTAATTACTATAATTAGGCCTATTAGTTGAATTAGGCCATAGTTGAAGAATATTGGTCTTAATAATATTGGACCAAAGATCTTTGGTATTATTTATGTCACTTCTTATTCATTGTGTCACTGGTGTTAGTTTTTTTTCTGTCAAATTAAATTAAATGTCACAGGTGACATGATAATAATTTTACATTCATTTAATTTTCCTACGCTCAAGATTTATTAATTTAAAGTATTGCATCATTACTTGTTTATAACTGTTTTTCAAATATTTCCATTGTTATAGCAAATACCTGCTTGTGAAAATTAATTAAATTCATTCAATTACACTTTTAACAAAACTGATTAAAACGAATAAACAATCTCCATATTTATTGCATTATCATTATTTTTCTGTAACTCTGACTACATGTGCTGAAAAAAATAGAAATAATATTTCATAAAAACCTTTAATATTGCCAAATGATTAGGTAACAGTGACAAAACAAATGGTACATGCGTTCTTTAAATAAATGCACAGCAAATTAAGCTGTCATTTATGTGTATTCATAAAGTCAAAGGGTAATCTAATATTGTGTTCTAAGTTTAAATGTTAGAAAAATGAATACATTTTAAGACATTTTGCCATACCAAAAGTGGACATTTCTGTAGAATGACCCATTTAGTTTCAGTTATTTTAGTAGGCCCATAGGTGTTTATATCTATGGGCTAACTTTAGGCCTAGGCTAATTCAATTTTAAGCAAAAGAAAGTAAGTAAAAGAAAATGAAAAAGGTTGCCAACTGAAGTAAACTAGCCTATCTGTTTTTATAGCCTATTTATCTTATTTCAGTTAACGCTTATTTTATTTCGAGTAACGAAAATGTTTTTGTGGCTTATAGTTTTATTTAACGATAACCGTGTTTTACTGCTTAATATTGAATTGATTATTCATAAAAAAGAGCCATCTGCTCTCAATGACGCAGCATTTGCTGCATGCCAAGAATGACAAGTTATTCAGCCAATCAAATGCTGACTTACTTGTGCACGTGGGCAATAGCAACACACGGCTAGCAGGATACAGGAAGTCGCTTGCCACTGTTCACTAGCCCATCTTCAACTCTTCAGCGATTGTACCTCAAGATATCTCTCTGCTGCAGGAATCTACAAAAGACTAAACTTATCCGCTGGTATGATGCACTTTTATTACAATGCGCTATTATCTGATCTGTAGCAGCGTGTTTCGTTTAAATACACATCAGAAACAAAATGCGCAGTCACTGTTGAGACATGGCAGCTAATGCTAACTGAGTGTAGAGTTTCAGAAGCCAAACGACGAAAAGATGGTTAGGTCTTGTGGTGCTATATTATATCTTAAGATATATACTGTTACATTTATATTGATGTATATTTGTACAAATTCTACGTTAGCTATTTGGCGTAACTTTTTTTAAGTTAGCTAGAATGCTAATCAATCTTGCTGAGTAACTGCTCACACCTTTAAGCTTCATGTTGTTTATCAGCAACACGCTAAAGATGACCACGCACCGATATCTTTATTAAAGCCTTATGTATATGGATTCAGAATGCTGTTGGTTTGTTTCACGTGTCTGTACCGGTTTGTATTGTCTGTCCATCAGTGAGGATGTCGTCTGGAGCTCTGTTCCCCAGCCTGGTCTCTGGCTCCCGCAGCTCATCCAGTAAATATCTGGTTGAGTTCCGGGCTGGTAAAATGAGCCTGAAGGGCAGCACTGTGACCCCGGACAAACGCAAGGGTTCCGTGTACATCCAGCAGACAGACGACTCGCTCATCCACTTCTGCTGGAAGGACAGGACCTCTGGGAATGTGGAGGATGTGAGGACTGTTCACAGTTAGTGGTCAAGCGGTGGTGTTTTATATCGATATCAATGTTTTGATTTTGTATTTCAGGATCTGATCATATTCCCGGATGACTGTGAGTTCAAGCGGGTCAGTCAGTGCACTACAGGACGCGTGTATGTGCTGAAGTTCAAGGCTGGCTCTAAAAGGCTGTTCTTTTGGATGCAGGTGAGGAGTGCTCACCTGATATTTCGCCAAGGCTGATTTATTGGCCCATATTGGTATTTTTATTAATTGCCCACTTTTTCTGTTTACCCGACGGTTTGGGTTATTCTTTTCTTCCTTGTTGTGACGTACATCCTAGTGAAACGGCTTCTTGAATAAGAAAAAAATGTAGGGTGGGACTTGACAATTATTTGGATGGTTGTGGTTTGCTATTGGTCAGTGACTGGCGTGAGCCAGTAAACACATCATCAGAGAAGAGATTTAAAAAAAAAATATGATTCCCTGTGTGCACAAACATACCTTTTTACTGTTTTACGTCATTTGTTTATTTGTGAAAAATCCCACAATAGGATAGTACAGAATCGAGGAGATTCTGATATCAGCTGTCGGTCACATTTGTTCTTGCTGTCCCATCTCTCTTGTGTGAAGGAGCCCAAAACAGATAAAGACGAGGAGTACTGTCGCAAAGTCAACGAGTACCTGAACAACCCCCCCATGCCGGGCGCTCTGGGCAGCGGAGGAGGCAGCGGACATGAACTCTCTGCACTTGGTGGTGAGTGATGGATGATGCAGAACACTCATCTCACTTGACTTTGGGCATGTCCCAATACTTGGCCACTTGAGAGTGCACGTACTTGAATCAGGAATGCAAACATGTCGCCGGTTTGAATCCACAATTGGTTATTTGTGTGATTCTTTTAGATTCGATTCGTTTTTGAAATTTTTGCTTTCAGAATCTATTTTTCTTTCTATTTCAACATTTAAATAGTAATGTAATCCTTGTAATTTTTTAATTGTAATCCTTGATTTATTTGTTTTTTTACATTTATGATGAGTTTCCTTCCCTGGTAAGTGCGCTAGACCAGTGGTTCCCAATCCTGGTCCTGGAGAACCCCCAGCATTGCACTCATTTCATGGCCCTTATCTAACAGATATTTGAACCACTGTTTCAGGGGCCGTTTACGCCACACCGCTTTCAACTGAAAACGAAAAACTCTTTGGGTCTCATTCATGAAACACGAGCAGAACGAATTTGTTCTGGCGTAAATTTTCGGATTCATTAAAATGTTCGTATTTTCCAAATGTTAGTTGGTACACAAGAAATCTACACCTGCTCCCAGCCACGCGTAAATAGTGCGCTAACAGCCGAACGTTTTGCTCATTAATAACGCTGCATTTTAATACACCTTAATCGGGTACATATTTGCACAGCATTTTGAAAAAATATTATATATAGGAATTACATACGGTTTTTCTTATTATGAGAGCCAGCCAGTAATAGCATCTGCGATGGCGGTCCTTCTCCAGTTTGAATACTATTTTTCCAAAGTGAACTAATTCGTTTTTTGCTCTCAAGCTTAATGTCGAACCATTTTCTTCTCACTTCTGGGAATGTTCGATTAACAGATGAAACTCCATTAACTGCATCTGTAATATGCTGCCAAGCTTCCTTTTTTTAGGACCCGATACGCCACTATGTACGCTTGAAAATAAAATTTGGCGTTTTGAATGAACTTCTGATAATAAAACTTCAATTTCTGCATCTGAGAATTTTTTTTTTTTCATTCGCATTCATGTCATAATATGATGCCCATATATAGTTGTCAGTCGGATTTAATGGGCGGGATTTATGGTAATTGTGAATGAACGTGCACGCGCGTCCCATTTACAACTGATTGGAATTCATTAACACACACACACACTTCACTATCACATCTGACGTTTACGAAGTATTTGTGAATCAGGAGAAGAGTTTTCGGGAAGGTCTCTTTACGCGCAAATCACTCGCATATTTACGAATGTTTCATGAATGAGACCCTTTATGCGTACTGGCCGTTCACTTACACCACAACAGCAAATATTTGAATTTTGGTTTCAAAGTGCAATTTTTTTTAAACTATACCATTATCATCTCCGTGTAAACTACAAAAAACCAAGCACATTTGTGACGTCATGTGTATTACGTCTATAGTCTATAGGTGTGTAGTGTTTCTTTACAAAGTGACATCGCCAACTACTGGCCTGGCAGCAGAATCTTTTTTTTTTTACATTAATTAGATATTACATATAATTAACATTTAAAAAAAAAATTATGTAGCGTGTATTTTGCAACTGCTTTTTACAAATTTTTACACTTTAATTATCAGCACCACGTTCAATAATGTTGTCTGTTACATAAGGACTACTGAACAGACAAGTTTATTTTAAAGTGCAAAGTATTGAAGATTAAAATGTGTAAATATGTTGTGCCCCATAGGTTAATCAAAAGGTATATGCACACTTGTAGCGCCCTGTGTAGGTTCTGGGACAGGCTCTTTGGCAACAAGAGTACTAAGGGAATTTCCCTTTTTTTAAATATCCTTTTCTTTAAGGAGAAGGTGGCTTGCAAAGCCTCCTGGGAAATATGAGCCACAACCAACTCATGCAGCTGATTGGACCAACAGGACTGGGTGGACTTGGTGAGTTTTTTTTGTTTGTTTTTTAAGCAAGATTCCATGTTCATGATTGCAATATGGCCCAGTCATAATACTATGACCGTTCAGAATTTGGGGACAGTAAGATGTTTTTTCTCAAAGGTGCTCTGGCTGGTCCAGGTCTGGCCAGTTTGTTGGGGAGTGGAGGTCCTGCTACCAGTAGCTCAACCTCGAGGTACGTCTGGTGATTTCTCAATGCTTATTTTTGCTGCCGATTGTTCTCGCATCTAATGGCTTCTATCCCTCATCCACAGCTCCCGCAGCCAATCGGCAGCCGCCACTCCCTCCTCTGGATCCACCGCACGCCTCAGCTCCACCCAGGCACCCACCACACCCGTAACCCCTGCTGCGACCTCCACCGGCTCGCCCACGGTGACCCCCACCACCCCTGCAGCCCAGACCCCCTCCATTCCTGCTGCAGGACCCCCGTCCAGCACACAGCCCATCCAGCTGAGTGACCTCCAGAGCATCCTGGCCACCATGAACGTTCCCGCCATGGCCGCAGAGGGACCGGGAGGTGAGAAACCGACAACTGATGTGATCTTCACTTCACTTTTACTTTCCTCTAAAATCTTGCCCATCCATCGCTGTCTCTGTAGTGGACCTGGCAAGTGTGTTGACCCCTGATGTCATGGCTCCTATTCTGGCGAACCCTGAGGTGCAGCAGAGACTGCTTCCGTACCTGCCATCAGGAGAATCCCTCCCACAGAGCGCCGACGAGATCCAGAACACACTGACCTCTCCACAGTTCCAGCAGGTCAGTCGTGCTCATACTGCATTCAAATTGTACAAGTATTGATTAGAGATGCACGATATGTCGGCCACCATATCAGTATTGGCCGATATATGTTCATTTTTAATGTGATCGTTATCGTCCCCATAAAAAAAAATGTGGCTGAGACACTTCAGATGTGTACTGATGGTTTTGAATTGCTTGAAATATGTTGGAAACAACTTTAAAAAAGGACAATACAGTAAAGTGCAACACAAATCTGTCATATAGGCTATGTGCACAAGCGTAATTTCGAACTTCCGCTATTGTCAGAAGTCGGCATGTCAGTTTCCGGTTTACGGCTGTTCATCCGCATCCGCTATAAACGAACAAGATTAGTGCTGCTGTTGTACGAAAAAAAGAGTTGTTAAACACATCTAAGTTTCTAAGAACTGTAGGTGGATCCATCATCTAACGCCCGTTTCACACATACCCCGTTTGCAGTGTGTGTTGCGGTGCAGGAGCAACGCGCGCTATAGTGCTTTCACATATGATGCGTTTGCAGTGAATAACTGATCCGCGGCTGTACCACAAACACATACTTACTTTTTTTTTTTTTTTGCGTCGCCCAAAATGTCTATTTTGTGCAGCCACTGCGCACGAAGGTTGGTGTTTTTCGGGAAGCGTTGGAAGCTCAAATGGCTGTTAGCAACTTGAAGCAGAGCAAAGTGGCACACAGCAGTGCTCCGTCCTAACGCACCATGTTAACAGGTTAGAGCTTTCACTTTTCACACCGTTCCAGATGCGGCACGTATAACAGCAGTGCAGCGATCGTTTCTGCACCGAATCTATTTCTGCTGTGCTGCATTAAAGTGACACCGCATGTTTCGTGGTCAAAATGCACAAAGATTGACCTGAAAATGTAGTAATTTCCCCATAAATGCGTTTCATTAAATAAAATGTAGTAATCTCACCATAAATGCATTTAATATACCGGTACTACTATTTTTCACAGTCATCTGAAGACTGTGAAGACCGGGGTAAATCAAGGAAAACTACAATTAAGGCGACATAATGAACAACACTCGTCTCATTCGTGGAGGTGGAAAAACAAGTTCTTTGTGACATGCAAGATCTATTGTAGGCTATTACAATTTAAATGCAAAAGAAAAGGCATGTGAGTCGGCTGTTTTTGCCAATTTTAAGTTTTAATTTAAAATATTTGCCATTTTAATATAGGAAATTTGACCACTTGCTTGAGCAACTTAATATAAGTAATGCATGGAATAATAGCCCTACTTGCGTTGTTTAAATTGTGTTTAAACGTGCATACGTCCATTAAAGAGTGTGTACAAAGAGAATCGCAATGCTGACAACTTTTTTTGAAATAAAAGTTCTAGCACAACTTCTGGATTTTAAATAAAATAGTAAGTATGTGTTTGTGGTACAGCCGCGGATCAGTTATTCACTGCAAACGCATCATATGTGAAAGCACTATAGCGCGCGTTGCTCCTGCACCGCAACACACACTGCAAACGGGGTATGTGTGAAACGGGCGTTAGATGATGGATACACCTACAGTTCTTAGAAACTTAGATGTGTTTAACAACTCTTTTTTTCGTACAACAGCAGCACTAATCTTGTTCGTTTATAGCGGATGCGGATGAACAGCCGTAAACCGGAAACTGACATGCCGACTTCTGACAATAGCGGAAGTTCGAAATTACGCTTGTGCACATAGCCTATAGGCATTATAATTGTGTGCTTGAGGCATGGATTTTAATGGTCAGACTTTTGTTTTTGTAATCAGGGTCTCTGAAGTTATATAAAAATGTGGATTTAGATAAAGCTAATATAGCGTTTATCGTCTTTCACATATAAAGAATTATCGGTTATTGGCCAAAATTTTCGTATTGGTGCATCCCTAATATAGATGATAACCGTGGTATTTAAAAAATAAAGTATTCCGTGTTGCTCCAAAACCAAAATTTGTTTTAGTATTAGTTTTCATTTAGCCAAAATATATTTAATCAACACTTTTTTAATTATATTATTGTTTCTACTCCAATTCATTGTTTAAATATACATAGACATTTTAAAAACATTGGCTGTAATTATAACTTGTTTTCATGACAGATTTATTCAAACATACACATAATAATGAAGACTTCACTAACAGGTTAATTAAAATATTAAGAATTGATGATGTAGTACATTTAGCTAAATGCTCCCCCTCTAGCTATGGTAAAATATTACATGACATTGTTTGCAAGAGGTTTTATTTACATCTTTCCACGGTTTAAATACTAAGCGATTACATGAAACATTATACATTTCAGTAAGTTGTACTGTTTTATACTTCCTGATGTTTATTTAATGCTATAATTGGTAGTAAAGAGAAAGAAGTGGTCAGTCATCTTTCTTGGGCTTTTCCATGTATCCTGCTGTGATGTAAACACCCCGTGTGTGTGTCTGCAGGCGATGAGTATGTTCAGTAGTGCTCTGGCCTCCGGTCAGCTCGGCCCTCTCATGAACCAGTTTGGTCTTCCCTCTGAAGCAGTGGACGCAGCTAATAAAGGGGGTGAGTTGTGCAACGTCCTCGAATCAACACAATTTGATTTCAAAATATATGGAAAAGTAGGTTAAATTTTAAAGAACTTTCATTCTCACAAGCTCTCATTTGCTTTGTCCTGATATTTAGATGTGGAGGCGTTTGCCAAGGCCATGGAGGGCAGTGATGCCAAGACTGATGATGGTGATTCCAAAGACAAGAAAGATGACGACGAGGACATGAGCTTGGATTAGAACGGCCTTCTGAACACAACCGTCTCTCTCTGAAGTGTTAGTCTCATACTAGTCCGAGATGTTTGCCTGTAATCATTCATTGATTCAAGTGTGTTTTGTATGTCCAAAGCTACACTATTAAACAATTGACTATGTAATGCCAGTTTATGTGTGTGTGTGTGTGTGTGTGTGAAGTTAATCAAAGAGACAAGAAACTTAAAGGAAATGTTTATTGCCAATAAAATACAGCTATTTTTGGGAATCTGACAAAAAATATCAAAAGTAACAATAATATTTCTTGAGTTTTCAACTCCAGTGGTTTTAGATAATACACAATGAATCCCTATGGCGCATGAGTTCGCTTGGGAACATCCACAGTAAATCTCCCTCCCTCCCTCCATCCAGTGTTTTTATACATCTAAATATTCCCATAAAACCCATTTAATGGTGTTTGGTCAGGATTGTATCAGTGACATGTACTAATTAAACCTGGAACAAAATAAATCCAGTGCCTTTCCTCTGGTCCTGTCATTGATCAGTGGTGTCTTGGCGCTTACAGTGCTTTTTCATCAAACTACATACACGGGTGTCATGAAAATAACCATAAATATCCGTTTAAATTAAAGGCTAAGCAAACCCACCACCTGTTGATTTGATAGTGTCAGTGTACGTGGAGTATTTAGGGTTTAATGCAGTTGTGGTCTATAAGGCAGGGCACCCCTGAGTCCCCACAGATCCAGACACAGACGAGGGTTTTGTCAGCATGACAGTCCTGTGGTTCAGTACGGCTTTCCTCACACACCCATGGAAAGAGAGGACGGTGGATGGGAGACCTGGTACGGCTATGGTGTCTGCACACGAGAGGACAAAAGGTTTAATTAGATTGAGCATCTTACCTCATTATATCAATGCAAGATTCTTGATTTGAAACCTGCATGTTCTCTGATAGGAATTGTAAAAGCGTTCAGGTGTCATACCCGGGATGCTGCCCAGATAAACAGTCTCTTTGCCCCCGTTCGATCTGCTCTGTTTGGGACCCACTCCATGTTCACTTGCCGAATCCACGTGTAGCTGGATGACATTGCTCTTCTTCACAACTAAAATAACAAATATTAAAGTGTGGAATTATATGGCAAACAGATTAGAATAGACACTCTTGGATAGGGTTTTTGAAGCAATGACGAGATAAAAACAGAAAAAGAAATCAGTGGTGAACAATAATGGTTGCTGTACTTAAGTACATTTTTCAAGTATCTGTACTTTTAGTATTTTTATTTTTATTTTATTTTTACCTTTACTTCACTAGATTCCAAAGCATGATTTTGTAATTTTTACTCCACTACATTCCATAAAACATGTTCACTAATTAAATTGTATTAGGGTATCTGTACTTTTACTCAAGTACTTGATTTGTGTTCTTCATCCACCCCTGGAAAAAATAGATCTAATCTTAATTTCTTGCGAAATGCCCTCAATTTTCAAATAAAATGAATACAAACCACTGATCTATAGAAGTCATTCTATATAGATCAGTGATACAAACTAATTTGATTTCATAAATAAATGGTCATATTATATACAATACAGGCATTTGTTTCTACCACCACTGCACTGACTAACATATAGCCAGGTAAAATGCTTCTACATAAGCATACACCCATTTTTACATCTAGACAAGCATATACCCATTTTCAAAATCAATTGTACAAAGTCTAAAAGCTTCATTTTTGACCCGAGCATAACAGATGTATTTTTTATTTAAAACGCACCACAAGGGTTAAATGCAGTATGATTGTTTTTCAAGGGTATGACTCACTTGTCACAGTGTGCCAACCTCCGTCACAGAGAGACTCCTCTGGTGTGAGACTGACTGAAAACTCTCCACTGCCACTGTTCACCAACACAGTCACCTGCACAGAACAAACAGACACTTCAAACTGGAGTATGGACCCGTCCCAATGACCATCAGACCAAGCCTAAATGATTTGTGGATATTCTCTGAACTCTCATAAAAATAGCTACGTTTACATGGACACCTTATTTTTAAAAAGAACTCCGAACATAGTGTTTACATGAATTTCCCTCCGTTGACGCATACTAACCGTCATCCTGCCATCGCTTCTGTTCTTTGTTTTAAAGAGCACACTTAATACTTATCTATTTCAGGTCCTAAAAAAGCCCCTTCCCAAGCAGTAAAAAGGCCTTTTCCTGTGCCCAAAACAAGGCGTTACATCATTACGCTATTTCTAAGTTATCCCACATGCGCAGAACATTCCAGTTTCGGTTTTCAATCAAGTATTTACATGTCCTATCGAATGGATTAGAAAAGGTTTAAACCACCTCTTACAATCCAAATGAAATTCGAAAAATTGATTTGGCCAATTCATTCTCATTGACGTGCTACTTGTCCATTACAAATGGATTATTAGGTCCATGTAAATGCAGCTACTGTCAAAATGGGGTCCAATTGACCTGAATTGACAAATAAAACCTTAAAGAATAAAAGCATACATCTCATTTAACCTTGTAAGAGTCACAGGTCCTTTACTAGGTTGTGTGTGTGTGTGTGTGTGTGTGTCACCTGGCCCTGGTTCAGATAGAGACTCAGCTGTTGAGTTTTCTTGGCTCCAGTGTGCAGCAGGAGCCCGGAGTCTGAAACCACACGGACCTCCAGCTGGATCTCGAGGTCCCGACCCAACATCAGCGATTCGTCTAGCATGCAGAGACGGAGAGAATGAAATCTGAAGTGTGTTTGACTGACTGATCAGGGGGACCGTTGTGAAGTGAGAGGCTCACCGATGGTCAGATATCCGCCCTGACTGGAGAAGTGGACCCCGGGCTGGAGGGGCTGCTGGTAGCAGGATGTCACTCCCACACTGTGAGAGGGGCTCTGTGCCGGCAGCTCGTTCAGTTTCAGATCCCGCACACAGCCGACGAAACCAGCCTGACAGAGAGAAACAGAAAGAAAGAAAAGTCAACTTCACATAAGCATTTTGGTACCAATTTGCTCTTAAAACAATATATTCAGATAGGTAAAAAAAATTTTCCTAAACCCGAAGAGTGCAGATATATTTATGTTTTTACATTCTTATCTAAATAAAATATTATTATTATTATGAATAAAAATGTATAAAATAAATAGAAAATATGGTGGACGGAGACCTGTATTTCAATGAAAATAAAAAAGAGAAATAAAAATAGTTCAATCTAATTAAAAATAAACTTTCTTATCCAACATTTGTGTGTGCAACTTTGTTGAAATCAATTTTGAGTCTTGTTTGCTTTGCAATATTTGTGACGGGTTGAGTTTCCGCCCATGTCGAGTGTTTCTGTACAGTGTGACTATGTAGGCAGTAGTTCAGGGGCTCTGTAGTGTGTGTAATACAGCGTTTACCTCAGCTGCGCTGTGGTCTGAGGGAAGTCCACCGATGTAGAGAGGAGCGCCAAACTGACTCTTCCCTCCACCCGTCACCCTCTTGTTCTGGGTGTCGATGCCGTCCGCTGTCAGAGAGGCCCTGTCACCCTCCACTTTCACAAACACCTGCATGAGTGCATTGTAAAAAATGTGAGATTTGGAACAAATGACACATTTATGTCTAAAAACATGCACGTCCACATACGCACCGTGTGCCACAGGCCGTCGTTGTATTTCTTTCTGCTGCGTATGCTAGTCTTCCTCCGCCCGCCATTGACCTGCAGCGTCAGATGGCCATCAGACACAGAGAGCATCATGGTTCTCTGGCCCTTCTCTCCTGCGTGGAAAACCAGTCCACTCGAAGAGTTCACGCGCACACCCAGAGAGATGTGTGGCCTGCAAACCAAGTTTACAATGCATTATACGTTACTGTAGATTTTTGATCGATATTAGTTACTTTTTTGATCAATATTAGTTATATTTTACTGATTTTTAACAGTGCATGCTCATTTACCATATCTGTACAAGTAGATTACATTTACTGTCATCGAATGCTCACTTAAAGTTAATCAATAAAATCAGTAATCATTTAGTTTTGACATGTAATATCAAAACTACTGACTTTATTTTTAGTGTGTTTTAATGACAAATCATACAAAATAGTACATAACTTTAATATCAGCCATTTAGCCATCAGTCATAACAAGAACTTATCAACTACAGCAGTTTAAAGCAGTTTTTTGAAACACTCACGCCTTGCTAAACGTTTGAGGCAGTGAATCAAATCTCAGGTGGCTGTGGGAGGAGCCACTGAAATGCTGGGCGTCGACCTCCTGGACGGACACCTCCCCCTGGCAGGACTTGAGCAACAATCGAGTTCTCGAACTTCCTTGAGGCTTGTTCTGTATTTTTATCATTAAAATAAAGTGATTATTTCATTATTTAACATTAATGAAAACAATATTTCTAAAATAAACTATGCGTTCTTATTAAAATAATGATTCATACAATGTTAAACAATAAAATATTCAAAATAATAAAATATTTATGTTCTTCTTCAAATAATATGATTATTTTATATATATATAATAAAATAAAATATTCTTCAGTCTTTAAAACAGTACCTTTGGATTCTTTCGTCGTGGTGAATCCAGAATCTCCAGTGGGACTGAAGCGGCGGGGCAAACAAAGGTGTATTTGTGTCCCTCTTGAGCTGATTTCAGATCTACGACCTTGGTTTCATCAATTCTAAGAACACAACGCAGAAATTAAAACAGCAGATCTAACTGTAACTTTTCATACAGCCTGTACATTCATACAGGTATAAGATTCAATTGGATGATTCATTTAGCATGATTCATCATTGCACACTCTCTGCATCACACACACACACACACACACACCTCTTCATGAAGAAGTTACTGAGGCAGCCGGTGAGGTTGGTGAGGCCGTTTGACGCGGGTGTGCCGCCCACATAGGTAATGTCAGACTGCAGCGCCGCCCTGCTGGTGTCCGCACTGACAGCTTCTCCTCCACTCTCAAGGACATCATCTATATAAATGCGCAACCTAAACAAAGACAGAAATAGTCTTAACCCTGTACACAAACACAATCTATTAATATATCTATAACATCCATACAGTGGCGTACCCATTTGTGTTGCGGTAAAATGCAACATAGTGACTGTTGTCGTCGTTGTATGTCTTCTGAGACTTGACTCCTTTGTTGCCAGCACTTACTACTACATG